TCGACTTTGTGGTTGTATTTCGGATGGGCGTGCCATAGCTCTGGTGCCTGCCAATTGACAGTGCCGACAAGACTACGGACCATCGAACGAGTCGATTGCTTAACCTTCGCAAGGCCAAAATCTGCGATCTTCGCCGTGCCTTTGGAAGTAATAAGTATGTTGGACGATTTGCAGTCTCTGTGGATAACGGATGGCTTTCGCTGGTGCAGGTATTCGAGACCCCGTGCAATGTCCAACATCATGCAAAGCTGCGATGGGAAGTGAGTCCTCCTGTACTGGGAGAGCGAACGATATGGATACTTACGACACGGTACAGCGAAGGCGGTAGCACGTTCCGGACGTAGTCGAAGAGATCACCGTTTGAGCATAACTCGCTCACTATCGTTACCGGAGTCACGCGCGTGTCTTCCGGGATGCTAACGCCAAGCTGTAGGTTTCGGAGGTTAGAAGCCAACATATGCTGAGATAAGAAACACGCACGAAACGGACGATGTTGGGGTGGTCGAAACCGCCCAATAACTTGAGCTCTTTGATGTCCACTTCATAGGACGTGAGCAAGTCACAACAATGCCTGAAGCTGAAGATGACTCACTGGCAGTAAGATGCCCCCTGAACTCGGCCAAAGCGACTTTGCGTCCTCTGAATTTCCCAATAAAGACGTCCTTAAATCCGCCACTGCCAATCTTTTCAAGCTTCGTTAGCTTCTCGGGCGCGATTTCACGGTCTTCCAAGCCAAGGCTTTCTAGGTCCAGCTCCAGCTCCTCCTCCCTTGATCCAGGTGAAAGCGGCGGGGTGCGAGGTTCATCCATATGCATATGGTGAGATCGAAGAAGGACAGGGGGAGTGCCGCTATTGCTGCGCCTTTTGCGACCATTCGCGCGAGGTCTAGCGGTGGACGGCGGGCGTATAGTACCAACAGATGACGGAGATGATGCCTCTGTTTGACGATCACGCCATTGAAGCAGAGCTTCAGCGAGTTGAGGTTTGGTTCCATCGACGTCGAGGAATCGGGATTCGCACAAACGCACAAGGTCATCGCGGCGCAGACGGACTAGACTCTTCGCAGTCGCGATGGTCAGATCGACTGCAAAGTGTCAGGTATATACACCAGAAGAGATGTAGCCCACTCACCCTCCTCCATGGCCTCATCGACATACTCATCGCCATCTTCCCTACTCTCATCAGATTCCCCTTCTTCCACGTCGACGTCGACGTCAACGTCGACCTCCTCGTCGATTGACATATCCTCTTGTACTTCTTCCTCACTGCCTTCTTCCACATCCTCCTCGCCGACAACCTTCCCGTTCCGCAGCTTCCTTGGTTCGACAAGGGTGGCATCATCTTCATCGCCTTCCAGATCTTCTTCCTCTCCATCATCTTCCGCCTCTTCCTCCGCCTCCTCTGCCTCTTCATCCTCTGCCTCCTCTTCCTCTTCATCATCACCATCGTCAGCGTCAGCATCACTTGGAGGAGTGTGAGTCTGGATGCGTCGAGGGCGTAGCCGACGTTTGACAGGCGTCCGAAGTGGTGGTGGTGGGGATGGTGACTGCGATGAAATGAGCTCATCGACTTCATCGTCCTCCCCACCTTCATCCTCTGCGTGGTCTTGATCGCCGTCATCCTCATGTAGACTCCCTATTCTGTCTTTCGCCCGTCGTTTAGGCGGTGTTCGAACGGTAACTTCCTCATCGCTCGGAGGACGTCCCCGCCGACTGGATGCCGTGCGTTCGGATTGGCTTCTCAACCGCCTAGGACTTGGGGATATGGTGATAGTGCCTTGGTCGGACTCCGAAAGTTCCGTGAGATCGCTGAGTTCATCCTCCTCTTCTGGAGATGCGACTTGAACCTCTTCGCTGAATTCAACTTGCTTTGCCTTGCCCTTGCTCTTATGCTGAGACGAACTGTCCGCCGGCATCACAGTCTCACTTGATACCTTCCTTGAGCGTAAACGAGTGGCGGGTGGGGATGGTAGAGACATGGACGCGGTAGATGTTGTTGGAGAAGACCTAGTTGAATAAGCCCGCCGTCTTGATAAGACGTTAGCAAAGGGAAGTCTCGTTGAGTGGCCTTCATACCTGGACCCAGCAGATGGTCGTTCCGCGGAACAAGATTCTGGAGGTATCTCCGCCTTGCGCTTCTTGTGGGTTCCCCCACCTTGCGAAGGTGACTGGATCTGGCCCAGAGAGAGACTTCTTCCTTTTGTCGGCCTAGTTGGGGCACGGCCCAAGTCGTGCACGGTTACCCTCCTTCGCAGAGTGGTCGGACCGGAACGATGACGGCCACCAATATCTGTTTCCTCTCCGCCTGCTACATTTCCCTCGTCCGATGAGTACTCGCTCGAGTTCCCGTCACGTCCCGGAGGTGAAGAAGGAGGCAAATCCGCAACATCATCCCTGACTGCAACGATGGCGTCTACGATGTCTTGCTTTGTGAGAACCTCAGCTTCGTCAGAAAGGCCCGCCGCAGTGTAAAGGTGCAGGAGATGGTCTTTTCGAAGGCGAAGAAGTTGTCGAGGTGGAGCTTGGCTGATCAGATAATCTTCCGCTGCAGTGCATGTCAGTAGCAAGTAGGGATGGGATAGAAGTGAACGTACAAGAGTCCAGGTCATCATCCTCGTCACCCGACCGAGTATATTCGTCGATATCCATAGTAGACGCTTCTCCGTCGTCATCGGTAGTCGCTTCACTTCGCAGTGATCCACGTCTCCTTTTGAAGGCGATACCGTCGCGCGTGATCCGCCCAGCATGCGCGTTCTCACTACCGCTCACGACGCGTTTCCGCTTGGCGCCTACTTGTATGGGAGCCATGTCACTTGAATAGCGCATGGTTTCCTTGTCGTGAAAAGCAAGACGCGACGGTAGGCGACGTAAATTGAACTGGAGAGGCGCGAGGACTTGACGCGACTCTTCAGACGACGGGGATGTGGACGCGCTCGAGGCGTGGGAATTGGTCGCAGGCTGGCGAAATCGTCGAACAAGGCTGATTACGCGTCGACGCGAGGTGGGAGAGTGGCGAAGTTTGTAACGAGGATGATGGGGAGAGGTCGAGGTGGGCACGCTGATCTGCAGTCTACTGTGCGACGTCCGACGTTGAGCCATACCAAACGAGCTGTGCGGCCCTTTGATGGAATGAAATGCAACTTGAGTGACCACAGATATTAAAGGCCTCCAACGGCAGTAGCTGGGGGGTCCTGGGTGTCGCTGGCGTCGTCGCCTTGATCGTCGTGGTCGTCGTGGTCGATGTTCAATTCACAGTTTGTTTGGCCGCCACAACCGAACAAAGTCGAACCAAACAGCCATCAATACCGTTCGTTATCGTCACGCTGTCACAAGTCTCGTGACCATGTCACAATAGCCCGGCGCTTGTTCTAGAACCGTCACCGTCCAGAATGTCCGAGTTCCGCGTCGAGCGTCTGCCTGCAAGTTGACTGCCACTCAGGCTCGCGCTCGCTCAAGGGTGGTATCAAGCACTCAATATCTCAGTAACTATTCGATTACCTGGCATATCGTACAAGCAAGCTACGTGATGGGAACCCCAGCTTCATCTTCATCAACACCGCTCGTGCCGTTCAAGCGGCCACACCCTAGCTTCCGAGTCAGGGACCCGTCGCTGGCAGTGTAGAATTCGCGAATGCCTTTTACAATCGGCTCGCCAATACTTGAGCCTTGAGGCAACTATCTACAGCTCTTATCTGACCCGGACGTGCTGTCGAAGCTGACATGAGTAGCGGCTTTTGCTTTTGCTTGCATTGTCCGTGCGACCATTGCTTCATCCCTTTCATCTGGTAAGTCACCTCACGGCATCCGACCACACAGTTCACCCCTGATTCTCGTCGACATTTTCTGCCTTGTCTGTGGACGCTTTCTTGTCCTCGTGTCCTCAATACTTTGTCCACACGCCATGTCTATAAAGCAGCCCGTCTCCCTCTATAGTCCACCTCCACCAGGCTCAGCGCGCCTCCCGACCTGTAACCTGTATCCCACCCCCCATCGCCGATCACGATGCTCCTCAAATTTGCCTCCTCCGATATTCTTCAATCTGATTTGCTCGACGTTCATTCGGGCTACGTTGCGTACAGCATTGCGACAGACACCTTCTTCACCTCTGCCCGATTCCACGAGAAGATCATAGGCAGCAAATCTACATGCATACGCCGGCGCAGGACCACAGTACGGGGACCTGACCAGAGAAAGGTTGCCGAGATCGTGTGGGCCGGTCGGGTGCCCATTTCCGTCCAAATTATCGATGAGGTCTTGGACGGCATCACGCCTCTCTTCAATGGATGTGAAGGGTTTGGCTCTCTGTAAGTGAATCAAAGGATATCCTGTTCTAGCATCGTCTCACACCTGCGTAGGGACGAGACCCTCGTCTTCCCGACGCGCTTGAACGGTGAATGGGTCGCGACAAAAGACTACCTCTACGTATGTTGGACATACCGTTTACTTTTCTCTGCCTAATCAGGACAATCGCTTTAGCTCAAGTGCCTCACCAGCGGCCAGAACAATAGCTCGTTCTACTTGAACTCTCTCCTCCTTTCGGATCGCTTCATTCCCGCTCCTCTTGCGGGGATGGGTTCCTCTTACCTAGAACTGAGGATGTCCACACCCAGAGCTCTGGCCGAGATGATCGGTGAGTTAGTCGTTCGCCTGCTGGGGTCCATGATCACCACAGTCATCTGATGGTTGACTACTCCCAGCCTCGTTCCTCATCGTGGAAATCATTCGACGCAACGTATTTGACCTACCTAGGTCAAATTTTGATCAGCATCTGGGGCCACCGCGCGATCTTGCGCCTGACCAGTGGGAGCACCGTGTCCGCAAGCGCACGCCCAGCATGCTCTCAAGGCTAGCTGGGGGGTTCATTCCGCGGGTCAAAACGTAACACGTTCTATGAATAGTCGCACCTCGTCTGTCTTATATCGTTGAGTGTACCTACATGAGCATCGTTTGACGTCGTGTCGACCAAAACAGCCGGTTGTTTTGGGGCTTGTGAGTGCAAAATGGACACTTAGGGAGTCGAACCCTAGACCTTACGCAGCCACGGAGTGCGAAGCGTACGCGCTACCAACTGTGCCAAGTGCCCATGAGGGAGTCACACGGAGTCGTTTGCCTGATTCTTGGGTGTGGCCATCTATGTGGACTTGTATACTAATTGGAAGTCGACAGCGGTAAATGAGTTAGATGGGCTGACGTAGTAGGCTACACGTAGGAACCTGTTTCTCGCTTTTCGTTGTCCATCTCCACCTCCACCTCAGCAACTTGCTCCACCTGCGTCTTCTCCTCCAGAAGTCCAGGCTTCTGCCTCAACCCGGCAAGAATGGCTTTCGCCTCTTTCGCAAAGTGAGACTTCTGCCGCAGCTGCTCGCCGTAGCGGATGAAGATGAGGGGAATTGGGATCAGCCCAAGTGATAGGAAACCAAATAGGGAAACTAGAAGTCGACAGTTAGCAGCGTCCTCAACCATAAGACTTGATCGATGTAGTACCTCCCCACTTGGTTCCCATCGAATCGAGAATCGAGTGAGCAGCGACGGGGAAGATGCAAGCGATGATCGATCGCGCGAATGTATTACAAGCCACAGCGCTGGACGCGTATATCGTGTAGATTTGTGCGACGCTGGAGGATCCATCAGAAGCGACATAAGGGGATGTCGTCGCATACGCACTATGCCAGGAAGCACATAAAGATAGCCATCATCGAGTAACCGAACGCTATGCCCGCGAGCGCGGGTGCTATCCAATGTGTTTCAGGCCCACTCGTCCTAATACCGTCAGCATGGGCGTGAGCGCCTCTGGCTACCAGGGGGTGAATCCAAAATATTAGGCGCACCATGCGAACCAAAAGAGTGAGATTGGAAGGAGAACACTGTGTAGCGTGAGCACGATCGCACCACCATAAAAACTAGAATAATCACCAAGCAGACAAGACGAGTTTGAGACGGCTTTCGGCGGGATGGAGGACACCGTCTTTCCTCTCGATGCCAGGCAGCGGAAGGCGCGCAAAAAGGCGGGTAAGTTGGCTGTACGGTGCTGTGACCAACACCATTCCAATCGGGATGGGAATGAAGAGAAGACCGCAGAGTCGAAAGGGGATATGATGCTAAACGCACTCAGTCAGATTAGGAGCAGACATGTGAGGCCGCCATACAGACCTGTTCAATGAAGACGACCGGGTATGCTTCGAAGAAGAAGCTGCAGGACGTTCATGTCACAACGCACGTTCGGCTTGGAGCATTCACATCTCACGCACTAGATGATACCGTACGCCAGCGATATCCAGATAGCGGCACCTTGATTGATTGGCTCGTAGAAAAGCATCTCTAACGAGGGTTTGAATGCTCGTGTGTCTATCATGCCAAATGAGACTCACGGGTCGGCCGGAGTATGTTCTTCTGAATCAGCTGCTGCTTGGACGTAGGATGTAGTTCTTGAGGAGCTCGCGCCGTCGCGTGTCCTTCCTTACGTAGAGCACGGGCGCGGTACAGAAGGACAGTTGGTCCGTGGGTTTCAGGGAGCAGAAACACAAGAGGCCACACTGCTATGGCAAAGTAGAAGTGCACACGGACGACCCAAAGACTGAGAGCGAACATGATCAGATGGAAAATTGTTCGGGATGAGTGTCGAAATCGTACGCGCGTCCTTGCGATACAGCCGCCACAAAGAAACCCACCAGAGATCCAAAGCATGGACCTGATAGAGGGCAGAAAGAGCTATGCAGTCACCGTTCATTGTGTCCACCTTCGAGGAACATTAATGTACTTACTACCAGATGATGGCTGGAGAAAGTCGTGTCAAAGGGTTCCATGAGATAGAACGTCAGAACGTACCTCGGCTTTGCGCGTGAATATCGTTGTGAAACATGCTTGTTTCCGGCGTGAGAGGTCAACCCATTTGGTTGAGATATTAGTTAGCTCACTCTGTGATCAAGCCAGAGCCACTGGAAAGGGATAGGTTGGCTCGGGCTTGACTGCACGGTCTGTGAGAAAAACCTTACTTGTTCAAGGCACAAGCTGCGCAACATCCTGTGAAGAAGCGGACTGTGAGGTTTTTGCTTCAGAGATGGTCGTATCTGAGCAGACTGATGGCGTATATTCACAGAGGAGGATGACGGCAATATTATCAGCAAAGGCAGATGGCGCAATTGAAGCTGTATATGACACAGTCAGCTAGTAGTCATGAGCAGCGTCGAAGGATCACACCAATCATGAGGGGCCAGGCTAACGTGTACGGTAGTTTTCGTCCGTACAGCTCCGACATGGGTCCTAGATAATCACGGAAAAAAGTGAGTCATTCAACATACAGATCAAAGTGACCGTATATAGTACCCCCTGTGAGTCGAGTGAGTAGAAAGAGACTCGGAGTAGACGATACCAGGACGCACATATCAACGGACCCGTTCCAAACCCAAGCACGTAAAGGCTTAGTCCTGCACTGGTCGTGACAACGCCGACACCATACTCTTCACCCAGTTGCTGTTGTCCTGGTGCCTATAAGCGGATATGAGAAAGACATCGCAGATACCGAATATATTTGACCACTTACATACGCCGACGAGCCAAAAACTCTAACAACCAATATATTCTGCTATAAGTTCAGAGCCCCAAACGCGTGGGACGAAAACGCACGCGCAGAATGACAGGATACAGATCGATGCCGTGACGAAAAGCTTGCGCCTCAGCCGCCAGTTCACAGGATCCTCTGGGTCATTCGGTGAGAAGACAACGAGTTCGTATTCCTTGGCTTCCATAGCTTTGTCTGGCATAGCCAACGTCCAACGAACGAGAGGGGATGTTGGTGGTCAGGAATAACCGGTTAAGGGAAAGGTTGCTGCCGGACGAGGGCTTGTGACGCTCTTGTATATGTGCAGGTACATCGTCTGGCATGCCGTTCACGGCCGTCGACCGTCAAGTGTGGTGCCTCGGGCATGACCTCGGGCATCTGAGACAGCGTGGTCTGCAGGTCCCACGCAGGCCCGCGACTGGGAAAACGGCGGGAGTAATAAACACTTGAGTCATTCGATGCCGGATGATAACTTACCCCGATCGCAGGGTATATACGGTTGTACGATGCAATGACCCCTCGATGATTTCTCAAGAACGGTTGCGCGATGTCTGAGGCACTGAGAGTCGGAAACAGTGGACGACACAGAATGGATACAATATATATGAAACCCTTGCCTCTACTCATTGCCGCAGCGGCGCTCGGGTATGCTCTTCGCCGAGGTGGCCTGTTGAATGATCGAGATCGAAGGCGACATTTTGGCACGTACGCAAGGAAGATCAAGGACAGCTCCGACATAAAGTCTACGGTCTTATTCCAAGGCTCTGCACTAGGTGTTCAGTACCATCATCAAAACCTCAGGTTATGAGCGCCCTCGAGCAACATACCGAAATAGCCAACCTGAGAGTCTAAGAAGTGCAATGGCAGCCTGAGGGGGATTCATATCTTGTGGACTCACCATGCCTGCCGAGTCCCTGCCGTTACCCTGCCGCGGACTCGGTGACCGGTGACCCGGAGAAGCAATATGGACGTTCACCCTTCCGTCAGGTTCCGCTATGTATTCGATCTCGAATCTATCTTCATAGCCCATTGCCAATAGTGAGCACGGGGAGCACCATTTATCGCGGCCTTCTCGACGACACATAGGGTGGACCGTATCGTCTTGCTTTATCGGCAGTTTGTGCCGCAATACAAGTTCAATGATCATGGCGTGCGTGTCTCTCACCGGTCTTGTGAAGGAGAGGCTCCAGATTAACTGCATTGACTTCCAGGTCAAGTGAAGACGAAGAGAGCGGCACAGAAGCAGTCACAGTCGATTAAAAGCGGACGCTCTTGACTACCTTCGAAATACCCGTCTTCTCGCCATCGTATCGACTGGCATCCCCGATGCCGCCCTTGTATACCGCTTTCTGAGATGCCACTGAGCGCTTTGCCTTGTCGAATTTCTGACGTTTCTTGACACGTGGGTTGCGCACGCTCTTCGAGCGATGAGGCGTCAATCCGCGATTCTTCAGGATGGCGCGTGTCAACGAGCGCGGACCCTCAGCACCTTCCTCGACATGATCGGAACTGCGGATGCGTGGGCATTAGAAGTACAATAGTACAAGTTTAAGGAGACGTACCGAGCAGCAGCCTTCGCGGCTTCGTACTCCTCCTTCTTGCTCTGCTTCCGCGCCGACTTTTGTTTTTGGATCAGCAAGTAATACCCATCTGCGCCTTCTTCGGCCCCGCTGCCGTCGTCATCATCGTCATTGGAGCGCGGACGTTTCTTCGGTGTCGGCTCCTCGCCATCAAGGTCGTCACCGCCCATGCCGAGTCCACGCGCTTTCGCTTCCTTCGCCATGCGCTCCTCTTTCGCTTTCTTCCGCTCCCGGTATGGCACATCATCGTCTCCGCCAAGAGCAGTGCGTGCACCGTGCCGCCGGTTGCTTGCGCTCTCAATCTTCGACGTGTGGAAGCGCAGGGTGCGCCGCCGCACACTCTTGTCTGCAGCGTCTGCCGCCGCGAGGGCTGTGGCATCGCCGTATGCGTCGTCCGCGCTCGTGGAAGGGGCCGTTGCGCGCCGCTTTGTGGGAATGAACTCAGGCTCTTCGAGGTCGAAGATAGGGGAGGGTACAACAGTGGTTTGGCCTGTTTTCCGCTTCTTTTTTGGGGGTTCTGCGTTAGCTTTCCTTTTTTTCAACGGTGCAGGGCTGATGGGCATCAGGGTATCGTCTTCTGCCTCGCGCAAGAGCTGAGCCAAATCTTCGAAATCCATGCGACTTGCCCTACGACTGAATCTTCTGACGACTTCGGCGTCTGGTAGAGTTTCGTCATCGAGATCTTCGTCTTCGTCTTCAGACTCCTCGTCTTCAAGGTCAGACCCCGAAACATCGAAGTCAAGCTCCTCCAATGTGGAGAGCGCCTGCTTGAGCTGTACAAGACGAGCAAACACAGGGTGTGTGCGAAGCAGTTCGGGCCGCTGTGCGTACGTCTCGCTTGCACGGAGGTGAAGATAAAATGCCAGGACCGTTGCGTATGTTAGTAGCGCTTCTACAATTTGCACCTGTGTGAGCTCAGCAAGCCTGATATTTGTTCCCAAAACG